TTTTTTTTTTTGACAGGCAGAGTGGACAGTGAGAGAGAGAGAGACAGAGAGAAAGGTCTTCCTTTTACTGTTGGTTCACCCTCCAATGGCCGCTGCGGCCGGCGCACGGCGCTGATCCAAAGCCAGGAGCCAGGTGCTTCCTCCTGGTCTCCCATGGGGTGCAGGGCCCAAGCACTTGGGCCATCCTCCACTGCACTCCCGGGCCACAGCAGAGAGCTGGACTGGAAGAGGAGCAACCGGGACAGAATCTGGTGCCCCGACCGGGACTAGAACCCGGTGTGCCGGCGCCACAGGCGGAGGATTAGCCTATTGAGCCACGGCACTGGCCAGAAATCTTTTTCCAAACTCAGTCCACTGCTGAAAATTCCTCCCAAGTTCCCTATGTCCTACCAGGGCACAGCAAACACAGTGATGAACAGTTCAGGCTTGGGGCTGGCATTGTGATGCCAGCATCCCATACGGCTGCTCCACTTCTGACCTTCTTCCCTGCTAATGGGCCTGGGAAAGCAGCGGAGGATGGCCCAAGTGCTTGGCCCCTGCACCCATGTGGGAGACCCAAATGAAGCTCCTGGCGTCAGCCTGGCCCAGCCCCAGCTGTTGCGGACATTGGGTGAGTGAACCAGGGGATGGAAGATCTCTCTTTCTCTCTGCCTTTCAAATAAATAAGTAAATTTAAAACAAACAAACAACCAAAAACAAGTTCGGGCTCAGACTCTGGGGGCAGGCTTGGTTCTGTCATGTTCTAGTTGTACCTCTTGGGCCAAGTTACTTAACATTTATGAGTCTCGGTTTACTCATCTGAAAAATGGGACAACAGTACCTGTTTCATGGGGTTTCTGTAATACAGAAGCAAGGCGATTCATCCGAGGCATTTGGCACACAGGAGAGGCCTGCTGGAGCGATTGGTATGGCATAATGAAGGCTCCGTTCCTGAGCAAGGTATGCAGAGCTGCCCGCAGGGGTCAGACAACAGAAAGGACTTCCCAGCTCCCGGAGCAGGGCTGTCAGGACGAGGCACCTGCCCATCCAGCCTTGTGTCCCACCATCGTCCGCAGGAATAGCGGGACTGTGCACTGAGGCTTTTCGGGGCCTTTGCACACGCCGTTCCTGCTGCCCAACGTGCTTGTGGCCTCCTTGTCCACCTGGCAAACTCCTCCTCAACACTGAGACCTCATTCGAGCCCCCTGGCTTCTGCCCAGCCTCTGGGAGCCCTGAGCAGGGTCGACGGTGCCCTCCTGCCCCAGCACCCGCCGGGCTAAGAGCCACAGGCCTTAGTAGAACCAGGCAGTCTGAATCAGGACCCCAGCTCTGCCACTTCCTGGCTGGGCAACCTTGGGAGTTACTCCGGTCATCTTCCATCTTCGGGTCTCAGTTTCCTGATCTGGGAGATGAGAGTGATAAGAACAGCCTGTGTCTGATAAGGTCACTGTGAGGAGTCCTGGGGTGAGTCTGTGTAAAGAATTGGCTCTCGTATCTGGCCCCCAGTCAACACCAGGCCAGGACAAGCCTCTGTTGCCTCCAGGGGGCGCTTGGTCTGTGTGTGTCTGTGCCCCCTGGGGGATATAAGGAGGCTTGGGGGTCAGGGCTGGGCTTGACATGGCGTGGACACTTGGTACTTCTGCCTGAGCGGACAGTTTCGAAATCTCCCCCTACGGAGCACTTCCAGATGCACCAGGCTCTGGGCTGGGTCCTGGGGTAATCCTGTGAGCTGGGTGCCTGGCGGTGAGTGCCTTAGGGCCCTAAAGCTGGCCAGTGGCAGCCAAGGGCTGCTCAGGCCCAGCTGACTCCAACCGACCCCTCTGAGCCTCAGTTTCTTCATGTGTAAAATGGGCGTGTGGCTGTTCTTGCCACCTTGCGGGTTTACCTGTGGTTTCATCTACGTGAATGTGAGAGAGGGGCAGAAGGGGGTTTGATTCCTGCTTAGGAACTGAGTGCTGCTTTGTCTCAGATAAAAACAGCAACTTTTCTGGGGGTGAAACTAGTAGCCGAGACTCAAGTGGCCCATGCCACCCCCCTCCCCAGGTCCCTAGGGTTTGTCTGGAGCCTGGGGCCAATTCAGCTGCTCCCCCCCTTGCCTGGGCCAGTTGCCAGCCCCTCCACCCCTTCCCCCTCCATTACCATTGGAGGACAATGGTGGGCAGGCCCGGCCTTTGTGAGAGGGGTCAGACCAGTTAATCTCAGGCTGGGCTGGGGAGGAGCTCCGTGGGGGCGCGGGGGGGGGGGGGGGGGGGGGGGGGTGGACAACAAAATACAATGGGGGGCCGGGCCCGTGGTTTGGCCACAAACAAACGGGGCTCCTAAAAAACCGGGAAGAAGGCGTTTGAAGCAAGGGGCCCCCGGAAAAAAAAACCTCCAACACGGTTTGGGGAAGGGTTTCCCCCGAATGTAGATTTGCGCTCCTATTAAACTTGCCAAAAATTTGTGTTAGCTAATGGATTCTTAATTCTGTCTAAAATGAGAGAGGGAAAATTATGCCATTCATCTTGTATTGGTTTGAAATTACATCTGACACCTAATCGATCATACTGTGGAACATTAACTCTCTGGAAGGGACCCAACTTGCTCTCTCTTCCTCGCTTCCCAGGGCTCCCGAGCCACCCCAGCCCGGATTCCTGCCTTTGTATTTCATTAACTAAGCACAGCTCCGGCTGCTGCTGGGGGCTGCGAGGGGGTGGGCGTGGGGCAGGGCGATCACCAGGCCCCTCCACCCTCTGCCCGGACCCGGGCCCCCACTCCCAACCTTGAAGTGACCTCTCCCGGCGCTTTCCCCCACGCCTTCTGAGAGGTGGAGAAGCAGGCTGAAAGGCACTGGGGTGTGGGGTGACCTCGGAGCCACCTTGGGGGCACCGGGGAGAGGCGGGGAGCCAGGCCAAGCTGAGCTGGCACCTGGGGCTGGGGCAGGGGCCGTGGCGGGGGGCTCACCTGCGACTTGCCTGGCAGATGGGAGGAGGAGGAGGAGGGCAGATGACAATGGATTTGCCTCTGGGGATCCTGATGAGCTCCGACTGCACACCCCAACCCCAGACCTGCTTTTCCGGGAGGAGGACTTTCTGGCAGCCGGGAGAGCCCACTGGAGGCTGACAGACCTGGGCTGGATCCTGGCTCCGCTGCTGGCAAGCTGTGTGACCTTGGGCGAGTTATGTAACGCCTCTGGGTCTCAGTTTCCTTCCTGGTCAGAGCTGAGGAACACAACGGCACAGGGCTGGCTGGGGTGTGGACTGCGGAACGCTGGGAGCAGGTGCCACTGCCTGGCCCACAGTCGGTGCCCAGCGAAGGCGACGAGTGCGAATCCAGGTCCCCTCTCAGGCTCCTGCTGCTTCCCCATTGCCCCTCACCCTCTGCTGCCCGAGGACAGATCAAGGGCTCAGAAGCCACAAGATGGCCAAGGCCACCAGGGCCAGCCGATGCCTCCTTCCCTGGCCCTCTTCCTTCCTGGAGCTCTGTCTGGCCTAGAGGACTCTCTCAGTGACCCCGCCTGCCTGGCGGGTGGCACCTCCTGAAGACAGTGCCGCCGGAGGGGACACCTCGCCGGGAAGCCGCTTGCTTTTTTAAAAACGATTTTTCTGGTGGTTTTAGTTTTGTTTTTTAAGATTTATGTGTTTATTTGAAAGTTACAGTTACAGAGAGAGGTCTTCATCCACTGACTCACCCTCAAGATGGCCACATGGCCAGGGCTGGGCCAGGTTGAAGCCAGGAGTCAGGAGCTTCATCCAGGTCTCCCACATGGGTGGCAGGGGCCCAAAGGATTTGGCCCATCTTCTGCTGCCTTTCCCAGGCCATAACAGGGAGCTGGATGGGAAGTGGAGCAGCCAGGACTCAAACCGGTACACATATGGGATGCCGACATTGCAAATGGCGGTTTTACCTGCTCCGCCACAATGCTGGCCCAGCTTTTTTTTTTTCTTTTTTATTTATTTTTATTTGACAAGGGGAGAGAGAGAGAGAGAGAAAGGAAGGGAGAAAGAGAAAGAGAGATCTCCCCTTGCTGTTCACTCTCCAAATGTCCACAATAGCTGAGGCTGGGCCAGGCCGAAGTAAGGGACCAGGAGCTCCATCCTGGCCTCCCATGGGGTGGCAGGGCCCCAGGTACTTCAGCCACTCTCTGCTGCCTCCCAGGGTATGCATTAGCAGAAAGCTGGATCCCAAGCAGAGCTGGGCCTCAGAGGCACGCTGATACGGAGATGGGCATCCCAGGAGGTGGCTTAACCATTGTAGTCCCCTGCACCGCAATGCACACCCTGAGCCACTCTATTTTCCTTCGGCACTTCTGGCCTCTGTGGGTTCCAAAGGGCTCCTGTCTCCAATGCAGGCACCCCAGAGTCAGGGAGGGTGGAGTGGGTGGGGGAGGGGCCCCACCCCTAGTTCCCAGAGGCACCCTGGCCTCTCCCTTAGGTTGCCCTACAGCTCCTCACGAAGAGAGGGGCCACAGAAGGCACGTGGCATGCAGCTGGCCTCTGGTACCGAAAGTAGCAGAGTAGACTTCCGTCTCAAAAAGCACCCAGAACACCCACATGAATGAGAGCGGGTGAAGGCACCCAGCCGAGCTCCTCCCAGCAAGTCCCAGTGCAGGGGCCCGGACGGCCCCACTGGGCCCTGGGCCCTGGGCCCTGGGTCCTCGTGGAAGTGCCCAACACGGAGGAGAAGAACCATGGGAAAGTCTTCCTCATCCTACGGGACTCAGAGGGTGCGTGTAAGAGGCCGGGGCCGCAGGGCGGCCAGGGACGCTGCGTCTCTTGTCCATCCCCTGCACCTCAAATCTCAAGGGATATTTTCCAGTCCAGTTGTCCAGTCCCGGCAAAGCCTGCAAGGGGCTGGAGCTTAGAGAGGCAGTGAGGAGAGAGACTCCTTCCGAGACGGGAGAGAGCAGAGGGGGCTGGGGTGGTTTAACTCCTTTCCTGCCCCAACACACACACACACACACACACACACACACACACACACACACAAACACACACACACACACACAGAGAGAGAGAGAGAGAGAGAGAGAGAGAGAGAGAGAGAGCGCGCGGCAGGAGCTTTATTTCCAAATGTCCCTTCTCCAGGGAGCTTGCTGTCTCCCAGGAGACGCCTGGTGGAGATGCCCCTTCCTGCCAGGCTTCCCAGCAGCCACTAGGCGGCCACGGCTTCCTCTCCTGCCTGCAGACGCCACCGCGAGGGTCCCACGTGGTTTGTGTTAATAGGAAGTGAGGCAGAGGGCTACAGGCGCTGAGGACCGGCGGGCCAACTGGGGGTTGGCAGGCAGCTGGGTAGCCCGAGGCAGCCACACAGGGCCAAACTGAACGAGGGTCCTGGGCAGCACGGGAGGCCTGGGTAGAGGTGCTGACCTGCCTGTGGTTACCAAAGAAAAAAAGTCTCCATTGTCATCTTTTTTTCCTAAACTGGGAAATGTTGTTGTTGTTGTGTTTTTCCCTTGACTATGAAAGGAATGCATGATTGTTATAAAAATAGGTAATTCCAACAAAAGAGAATGAACCAAAGTCCCAGAATCAAATGTGAGGATCTGTCTCTTCCCTAGGAATATAAGTAGCTACTGACTAAAGAATCCAGGACAAGAGTGCTGTATTCAGAATGGAGAAGGAAGCAGCATGACCTCATGGAATGTTCCAGAATCTACCTGGGAGGACCCCTCCCCCACCCCCCGCAGCAAATGCCCTTGTGCTGGACAGGCTGCTGTGTGCATCTCCCTGAAAAGCAGCCGTTTCAGAGTGGATTCTGTATGCATTCATTCCCACACGGTCACCTGCTGGGTATGCCAGTGTGGCCACCCAGTAAACAGGGGGTGGAAGAATAAACGGACGAACTCATAGACCCGGAGATGGACACGGGCTGGCAGAGCGACCCAGGCAGGCTGTGTTCACAAACATGCCTGCCACAAGTCGGGAAAAAATAGCCTTAAACTCTCTGGCAGCTCCCTCCTCCTGGGAGACTAAAGGCTGGACTTACCCCAAAGGGCCAAGCCCACCTGAGAGTTTCCCAGGTCTGGCTCCTGGACAGCACAGGACTGAGGCACTAGAGGGAGAGTCAGGGTCTGGGGCGGTGGAGAGCCTGCTGAGACTTCAAGTACTATACCACATGCGCCAGGCAGGTGCCGGGACACTCTGTCTCACCCTGGCAAGGGGCAGCTTTGGTCAAGGTCATCTTCCAGAGAAGAAGGAATTGGAACACCTGAACACGCACCTGCCTCAAGGGTTCCACCCCAGACAGCAGCAGGGCTGGGGGGCGGCCCCTCCTCTCCCTTTCTTCTTGCAGAGACCTGAGGGGGTCCTGCCATCCACCCGTCACTGCTGACCCCATTTAGCCGTGGACAGCCGCGAGGTTTGAACATCACTGTACAGGCGAATAAAAAACAAGGCTCAGAAAGGCAAATGACTTGCCCAGGCCACAGACCAAATGGCAGAACCAGGAAGAAGCGCCCGTCTCAGGCCTGGTCCTCTGAAGTTTGTTCCACTAAAGTCTCAGCACAGGGCTTTGGGGGCTACCCCTGCTGGATTCTGGGAATGGTCCTCTCCCTCCCGGAGGCCCTGGGGCTTCCTACCAGCTCACATCTATGCCGGTTGTCCTACCCCCGGCCTCCCCTGAGAACTGGACTGAAGGTGCCCACGTGTGACATGGCCTTGGCCCATGTGACACATGCTCCTCTGAGATGTCACCTGTCCCATCTTGCTGCGCAGGGCGCGTTCTTATTCTGCAGAGCTCAGCCCATCGCCTGCCCACCCCGGCCCCTGCACGACCTCCGGGACGAGGGGCAGACCCCCTGTCACCTGCGGGCATGCTGGGCAGCAGCACGGAGCTCCACACAGCTCCTCTCTTCCCTGGGGCCCTCCCTGCCCACCCCGGGGCCCAGGCCAGGCGCTCCTTCCTCCCGGCCCGCCCCCACCCCCCACCCCAGCCGCAGCAGGGCACCGAGGGGCCGGCAGCCCGAGGAGGCTGAGGGCGAGGGCCGGGGCGGCCCGCAGATGCCGCCTCCGCCCCCTTCCTTGGCCGGGGCCCCCACGGTGTCGGGGAGCAGGAGGAATCAATCAGGATAATGAAGCCGCAGCCTGCCACGCACCGCGGGGGCACCGAGGAGCGGGGGCCGGTGCCAAGTCCGCCAGACGGTTCGGAGGAGCAGAGCCCGACGCGGCCCGGCGGCGGCGGCGGCGGCGGAAACCCGGGGCCGGTGCGCGCAGGCCGGACACAGCGCGGCGCAGGCCCCTGGCAACCGCGCCTGGCAACCCGGACGCCCGGGAGAAATCTTAAAGCTGCAGCGCCTCCTGTCCCCGCCGCTGCGGTCGCCGCCCGGATGCCGGGGCTTAGAGGGGCTGGCGGGGGCACTCAGGCTCTGTGCCTCTCGGGACTTGGGATCCGACACCCGACTTACACGCATCCCCCAGCCCGGCCGCATCGTTTCATCAAACGTGAACCGAGCCTCCTGCCCAAGCTCGGGCTAGACACTGGGGAGGGGCCAGGGCGGTGATTAAAAAATGAGCAAGATCCTGCCAAGAGGAGTTCACAGTCTAGCGCGCAAGGCAGACCAGGCTGGCTGAGGTGAGCAGGGCCCTGTGCTCTCCCGGATGAAGGGGCTTTGGCTGGAGGGCTGAGGGGCTGTTATAAAATATTCCGGCAGCCCCTGCCTTGCTCCAGGCCGGGGGGTTAGACACTTTTGTCTTGGGCTGCATTATCTTCCCCCCCAAAAGCCCTGTGAGATGGATATCATCGTTATCACCATTATCAATCCCATTTTCAAGATGAAAAATTAGAGGCCCAGAGAGGTGAAGGGACTTAGCCAAAAAAAATCTCGTTTTATTTTCCTGGGCATCCAGGACTTGCGACTCTGGCCCGCTATCACTCTGCATGTCTGGAACCCAAAAAACCAGTTGTGTGGGACGTGAGGAAGGGAAAAGGCAGTGGACGGGAGAGTCAGCTGCTGCACCCTTCTTCGGCCACAGCTGACCCTGTGTGCCCTGTCCTCGTGGGCAGGCCTGGATGAGGTGACCTCCAGACGTCCCTCTGCTCCTGCGATTTTGTAGCTCCTGCCTGAAGTCCAGGCGCTGTGCCACCCTTCTGGGCAGCAGTAGCTGGCAGGGGGCTGCAAGCTGGGGTGGGGCGGGGTGGGGGGAGACTCCAGGCTTTGGAAACAGCGGTCAGGGTTGGTGGGGGAGGATTAGAGAGTGGCAAGCAGGCTTTGGCAAAAGAAAGCTTGTGTCAGTAATCACTAGGAAGGCCCGGGCCTCCTCAGCCCTTCTCTTGTTCACCTGTCTCCTGCACATCCACGCGGGCACGAATCTGTGCCAGGGCCTGGGGCCGACTCAAAGGCTGCTGGTGAGGCAAAAGGTGTGCTGGCTTTGGAGCCAGGCTCATCTGGTTCCGAATCTCCCACTGTCCTTTACCAGCTCTGTGACTTTGGACAGGTGACTCAATCCCCCCGAGCCTCGGTCTCCTCATCTGTAGAACGGAGGCATTGCTCTACTTTCGGGGGATTATCATAAGACCTGTGAGGTGAGAAAAATGTATGCACAGTGTCTGGTACATGGTAGAGACTTAATAAATGGTCAGTTTTGGCTTGGTGCCGCAGCTCACTAGGCTAATCCTCCGCCTGTGGTGCCAGCACCCCGGGTTCTAGTCCCGGTTGGGGCGCCGGATTCTGTCCCAGTTGCCCCTCTTCCAGTCCAGCTCTCTGCTGTGGCCTGGGAGTGCAGCGGAGGATGGCCCTAGTCTTTGGGCCCTGCACTGGCATGGGAGACCAGGAGAAGCACCTGGCTCCTGCCTTCAGATCGGCACAGCGTGTTGGCCGTAGTGGCCATTTGGGGGGTGAACCAACGGTAAAAGGAAGACCTTTCTCTCTGTCTCTCTCTCTCTGTCTAACTCTGCCTGTCAAAAAAAAAATTCAGTTTTAAAATGCCTTTATTTTGGTAGTCAGATAACGGCTCCCAAAGATAGGTCCACATCCTAATCCCCAGAACCTGTGGAAGTTCTTATCTGAACAAAGCATTTTGCAAATGGGATTAAGAATCTTCTTTAAAAAAAGAGATTTATTTATTTATTTGAAAGTCAGGAGTTAGAGAGAGAGAGAGAGAGAGAGGTGTCTTCCATCTGCTGGTTCACTCCCCAGTTGGCCGCAACGACCGGAGATGTGCCAGGAGCCAGGATCTTCTTCCGGGTCTCCCACGCAGGTGCAGGGGCCCAAGGGCTTGGGCCATCTTCTGCTGCTTTCCCAGGCCATAGCAGAGAGCTGGATCAGAAGTGGAGCAGCTGGGACTTGAACCAGCACCCATATGGGATGACGGCACTGCAGGCGGCAGCTTTACCCACTACACCACCTCACTGGCCCTAAGCTAAGAATCTTGAAATGGGGAGATTTTTCTGGGTCATCTGGGTGAGCCCTTATAAAAGAGAGGCGAAGGGAGATGACACACACAGAGGAGTAGGTGAAGACAGAAGCAGACACTGGAGCGATGGTGCCAGTGACAGCAGCCACTAGAAGCTGGGAGGGGTGATGTGTAGATTCTGCTCTGGAGCCTGCTGCCAAGACCCTGATTCAGTCCCAGTGAAAGCGATGTTGAACCTCTGGCCGTCAGTAACATGACAGAGCACATTTCCTTTGTCTTAAGTTGCCACTGTTGTGTCTGGGAAAGGAAATAGATACATCTGTATGATATGGGAGATCCAGTCTTGAACCAAACCCCGGATCTGGATCTGGTGGGAAAACAGAAATACGTGGTGCACAGGAGCACCCAGAAGCAAGGCACCTCGCAGGGCTGCAGAGGGGAGTGGGAAGGTAGATAAAGCTGTTGGAGTTCAGGTGAGGGGCTAAATCAGGGGAGCCTTCTAGGCAGAAGAAATTGTGGGTAAAGGCATGGCATGAGAAGCCCGTGTTGTGGCGCAGCAGGTAAAGCTGCCGCCTGCAACACCGGCATCCCATATGGGCACCGGTTTGAGTCCCGGCTGCTCAGCTTCCATCCAGCTCACTTTGATGCATCTGGGGAAACAGCAGAGGATGGCTCAAGGCTTTGTGCCCCTGCACCCACGTGGGAGACCTGGATGAAGCTCCTGGCTCCTGGCTTCAGCCTGCCCAGCCCTGGCCCTTGTGGCCATTTGAGGAGTGAACCAGTGGATGGAGCTTCTCTCTCTCTCTCTCTCTCTCTCTCTCTCTCTCTCTGCAATTGTGCCTTTCAGATCAATCAATCAATATATATATTTTAAAAAGGCAGGCGTGAGCCGGCGCCACGGCTCACTAGGCTAATCCTCCGTCTTGCGGCGCTGGCACACCGGGTTCTAGTCCCAGTCGGGGCGCCGGATTCTGTCCTGGTTGCCCCTCTTCCAGGCCAGCTCTCTGCTGTGGCCAGGGAGTGCAGTGGAGGATGGCCCAAGTCCTTGGGCCCTGCACCCCATGGGAGACCAGGATTAATACCTGGCTCCTGCCGTCGGATCAGCGCGGTGCGCCGGCCATTGGAGGGTGAACCAACGGCAAAGGAAGACCTTTCTCTCTCTCTCTCTCTCTCTCTCTGTCCACTCTGCCTGTCAAAAAAAAAAAAAAAAAAAAAAAAAAGGCATGCGTGAGAGAGAACACTGTCTTCAGGAAACTTCCCACGTCCGGGATGGCTGCTGAATGGGGGTACGGGGGCGTGACAGACTGAAGTGGGTGGCAGGGCCAGGAGAGCCAACGGCCTTGGCTTCCACCCTGGAACGGAACGAACCCTGCGCCCTGTGCTAGCACTGGGCCCCAGGTCTGAGACAGAAATCTTAGGGGTCCTCCAGTAATCTTGCCATTTCCCACATAAGGAAACTGAGGCCCAGAAAAGGAGTCCATTTAAGGAATAAGCTGGAATCAGACAGCTGCACTCCAGCTTGGCTCTTGAACCTGCTGCTTCTCTGCAATCCACTTTCGAAAAGCGCTGGCCTGTGGTCTCTAAACAAAGAGGGTGCTATTTGCATATTATTTGCATGCTACTAATTAGATGAGAGAGGCAGATTCATTCAGTCCCTCCCCTTCCTGTCCCCCAGTCCCACCTCACATGGAGTTGTTCTTCCTCTTCCTTAACTTCAACTTTTCCCAAAATTACACAATAGACCTCAGCCCTCCAGTTCCCTTACTTAGCCCCAGCTCAGCCATATCTATCTATCTATCTATCTATCTATCTATCTATCTATCTATCTAAAAGCTTATTTGAAAGAGAGCGAGGGAGAGCTTGCTCTTCTATCTGCTGGTTCACCCCCCAAATGCCCACAACAGCCAGGGCTGGGCCAGGCCAAAGCGAAGATCCAGGGACTTCAACCAGGTCTCATGTAGGTGGCAGAGGCTCAAGTAGCCAGGCCATCATCTGCTGCCTCCCAGGGTGCATTAGCAGGAAACCGGATCGGAAGGAGAGGAGAGACCCAATCCCAGGCACTCCAATATGGAATGCTGCTTTCCCTTGTGGCAGCTCAACCTGCCTAGAAAAATTGCCTACTGGGTCTTCATTGTATCTAATTTGCATGGGAGACTCAGAGCAAGTTAAAATGGAAAACAAGGTGATGGGCTTCAAGCTCAAAGTGCTCTCTTTCTCCCTCTAGCCCACGATGATCTGAATGGGGGTATGGGAGTGGGAGAGGAGCGCGTTCCTTGGGAATCCGGTGGGCAGGTGCCAGCTGCATGCCCCAGGCCTGCCCCAAGCCTCTTGGCTGGCAGCCACACCGGCCCCCGGGAGAAGCCAGCTTTGCAGAATTCTTTGCAGGAGGAGGAAGCTTGGGGAAGGTCTGGGAGCATCCCTTGGCCTCGCAGCCTAACATGGGTCAGGTTGAGGTCACCATGTGAGTTACTATGGGTCCTCCAATGGGGACAGCACAATCAGATTCTCAAGGCTGCTGTCTATCAGAAAATTGTGAGGCACTGGGCCAAACACAATGGCTTCATTTTTTTTTAAATAATGAGGATTTTTTTTAAAGATTTATTTATTTGTTCAAAAAAACCACCTTTTTTATTTCAAAATGTTTTTGCAATTAAATGATTTGCTGTTCAAAGATTTATTTATTTATTTGAAAGGCAGGGTTACAGAGAGGCAGAGCAGAGAGGTCTTCCATCCGCTGGTTCACTCCCAAATGGCTGCAAGGGCCGAAGCTGCACCGATCTGAAGCCAGGAACCTGGAGCTTCCGGGTTTCCCACATGGGTACAGGGGCCCAAGGACCTGAGCCATCTTCTACTGCTTTCCCAGGCCACAGCAGACAGCTGCATCAGAAGTGGAGGAGCTGGGACTAGAACCTATATAGGATGGCGGCACTGCAGGCAGCGGCTTTACCGCTACGCCACAGCGCTGGCCCCACACAATGGCTTCTTGAAGATAAGCACCCAGTTAGTGTTTTCTGATAACAAGGGCAAGGAGAGTGAATCACAGAGGGGCACAGATTCTGCCTCCCTGCCCATGAACCTCCTCTTCCCTCTGAAACCAGTACCTCTCCCTGGTGGGATGTC